CTCATCAGACACCTCGCACCGTGGTGTCTGCTCCCGCTTGGTCACAGCTCGCACTTGCCAATTTCCCACGGAGTTTGCGGTCGGCCCATCTTGCGGTCGGGGTAAAGCGGAAAATTAACTAACAAAAAACACAGGCTCCTGGTAATTAGACAAAACACCAAATTAATGGTGTAGATTTAACCATTTGAGAGTTTCCTCCTCCTCATGCTTACGGATGGCTTGCCGAAGCACCTCGCCCTACGCTCATACTGTGCTCCGTCTCCCCAGGCATCAGGAATACGCTGACCTTAGAGGGTAGTGCGGTGCGCTCCCGTCTCGTGCATTGTGACCTAGTCACCGGCTTTGAGAACGCCGCGGAGGCAAATACGCCAAATGGTCTCTCTGTTCGGGCCGTTGCGTGATGCGTACACACTAGTCGTGTTCTGTTTTTTTTTAGCATCAGTAGAGACACAAGCGCTCATATACACGCACATACACTCACCCGTATGAACGCACGCACGCACACCCTACCTCTATAAGCACCTCTGAGAGACTGAGCCGGCATATCATCTTGAGATTTACGAAGTCACCGTAGACGCCTCGTCGTCGACGGGAATGTCTCCTCCCACTGAAAGCGCATCGCCGGAAATCCTGAAATAAATCCAGGAATACTACCTGTGGTTGAGTTGGTTAGATGAACAGTGGTATCCCCAACCCACCAGGCAGTCGTGTTCTGTTCATACTGATGAACTAGTAAACCGTTAATTCTGGTCGGCCCATTCTCTCAACTTGCTACTCGTCCGTTCACATGGCATCTTGCATTTTTTACCCTAATATTGTACTGTCTTAGTTTCAAAATAAATGTCTTACTTTTGTACTAACTTTAATATAAATTATACTAAAGTCAAAATATTTATTTTGGGAGAGAGAAAATAATATATATAGGAAACGTTAGTATTGAAGCGCCTATCTAGCGAACGATTGGTTCGCTGTGAGAGGCCTCCCCGCCAATATTTTTGTTGGCTACAAGAAGCCTCCGGCGCGAACTAAATGGCCCGAATCAACAATACCTTGTACAAAAAAAAAGATTTAACAAGATGTATGTATGACCTCTTTTTTTAATAGTGAAACAACACAAAATTGCCTTAATGTACATAATAAAACTGCAAACCAAATTGTGATGCTCGAAAATAAAAAAAATGGCATAACAAATTACAAACCTCGAAATAGACTTTCGTCCCGCTTTATAAATAAAGCAACTATCGAACCAAGTACACAGCTGAATGTTACAAGATGGTGAGATAAACCTCACACAATCTCGATCCCAAGATAACCGGATCACGCAGAACGCACACGACTACGCTGATGCCGGTTCGTTGAAACCGGCCCCTTGCTCCCGGCCTCAGTTGGTGAGGTTGTTGAGGAGGTTCCGAGGTTGGCGGCGTGGGCGATGCAGACGTTCATGCGTCATTGTCTTATTCCATCGGGCCTTGCGGGCAGAGACCTCCAACGCCTTTTGTTGAAGCGCGAGTTGTGCGTTAAGTTGGGAAACGCGTATTGCCTCCAGCATTCTCGATGTAGGGTCGGTGCCGGCGATGGGCGTCATGAGATAGTTCAGGGTGTATCCTATTACCGGTGGCAGTGTTGACGTAGTGCCTCGCAAAGTCGCGGTCATCATGGTGAGGCCTGCCGGTGAACTCGGGAGGAGGCCCGTGCTGACTTGTGGTTGAGGCATCAGTACGGGGTCTATATGTGGTTGCATCTTGACAGTATCAGTCCTGCCGCCGGAGATCCTGAGGTCGCGGGCTCCATCGACTCCGTTGTGCGTAGCATGTTCGTGGCTGGTTCTGTCATCATGACTTGGTGGAAGGATATCGCCTGCGGGGCCTCAGACAGGATGCCTCTTGATTAGAGGAGGCGTCAGTCTATGAGCCCATGGACGATCCTGCTTCTCCCCAAAGATCGGAGTACGTGACCTCACGGAAGGGTCGGAGGCCCTCGTTCTCTTCCTCGTTGGTATTCCCTCCGGTCCTTTTTAATTCGCATATAAGATTTATTTGAAGTCAAACGTCATAAACTTTGGCCAAGTTTATAAAAAAAATACCAACATTCGAATGTGAAATCAACAACATTAGATGCGTCATGACTTTAGTTTTCATACTATATAAATTTAGCATTGTAGATGTTAATAAATTCTCATATAAATATGGTCAAACTTTACGAAGTTTGACTTCAGACAATTCTTATATGCAGAGTAAAAAAGACCGGAGGGAGTAAGGGAGATCGATGTGTGGTCCCTCTCATCGCCCGAGGCCGAAGCGGTGCTTGCCGTATCGGCGTCTCCATGGACATCTGGGTCGGTGACGAGGCAGCCTTCTGGCGCCTGGTTGAGGCGCCAGGCCCTGCAAACCATCGCGACTAGCTGGATTGCGGCGTGGCCTCCTCTCTGTGGCTGGTGTGAAGGCGGATCGGGGGTTGCATCTGGGTTGATGGCGTGGTGTGTTCGTCAGACTGGGTGAGAGAGCTGCGAGGTCAATTGAGAGGTCTCAGGGCGGCGAGTTAGGTCGATGAGTTGATGTCGACCCGGCCTGCCTCGTCCACGACGAACGTGGGGGAGCCAAAGGTTAGGCTCTCCCCCGGCGATAGGACGCCGGAAGCAGAAAAAGATCCGATCGATGATCAGTCTCCAGCCGGCGCCGCCCATGCCTGGCGCGCCAACTGACGGAGTAGATTTTCGTCAGATCCCTTGGTAGGGGTCCAAGCGCAACTGAAATTCATATGGATCGGAGGTCACACGAGGGGCTTATCCAGGTTCAGGCCTCCAGAGAGTAATACCCTACGTCCTGTTGGTTTCGATTATTCATAGTGAAAGGATACCTCGTGCGAGAGGTTATAATGATGTATGATGTTGCTACCGGTAGTTCTCATATCTGAGAATAGATGATCAAGGGGAACCCTAGACCTCCCTTTATATAAACATGAGAGGCCTAGGGTTTACATGCTGGATGCGATCTGCGGCGTCGCGGCCCTCTAGTCTTGGGTGTCAAGAAGGTCAGCCCGCGCCAAGGGTTAGTGTCACGTCGTGGGCCCAGCGCCCGCGCCACGCCCACACCAGAGAGAGCTAGGCCGCGCCGGCCCCAAAATCTCAG